AAAAACAATACAAATACTGTAGAACTAAACAATGAGCAAGTAGAAGACAAAAAATGTGTAATACCAGCAATAGCAAATGAAGTTAAGAAGAAAAAAGAATTTCGATAAGATTTCTAGTCCCCTTAGGTCAATTTAGGTGATGAACATCAGATGGTTTAATTTTCCCATAATAGTAGGAGTAGGAAAGCCAATAAATTTAACCTGGCCTTGCCTCTCAATAGATATTCTCGCCCACATTGGGTTGCAGCATAAGCTTCTCCCGGATCTCATCGACACCCCCAACAGGGATCAAACCCGGGAAATGCAGCGTTTATTTTCGACAATATACCACTGTTGCTAGTAAATCACAAATAATACATGCAGTACTCATCCATGCCACATTTCTAGTGGTAATTTCGATGGGGCAAACTTGTATTTTGTTATTGCAATCGACTGCGTATTGTATATTCATAATTTGTAGGTCCCGAAACGATCAGCATATCGAGTGAGTTCAATTTTCTCACAATGGGGCGACTAGGTTTCATAATACCATTGCCGTTCGCTTAGCCTTACCTCTTAAAGGATATTCTTATGCAGGATAGACTGAAGTTTCAACCCCTCATTAGTGCCATCACCAATGCGACCTAGGGTGACAACAGATCTTAGGTCAAAGTTACTGAGTCTCTAAAACTCGATGTGAGACGAAATGGAGAGTAAAACATCCGAATAGTATCTAAGAGACAAGTAACAACATAGAGCAAGCAGTTATTAACCTGAATAATAGCTCGACATCGTAATTTGTGCTGCCTTTCGGTGTGACACATCTGAGCTAGTTTATCTACACGGCCGGCTAGAAAGTTTGCTAGCTGATTTGAAGCTGATTTTGCCGAGTTAGCAGCGGAAAGCTAAAAATGGAATTAAATAAAAAAAAGTATAAATCAAGGCGAATCGAAATGAGGGAAAGCCTACTTACTGTAGGCACAGTTGTAAGAGGTTGGTGCTTGACCTAAGAGGTATAAGTTATAAAAAGAAAAATACTTTCTAATAAAAGGTTTTTCGCGATTATTTACAGATTCCGGAGCCCTAGACAAAAGAAGACAACCAAGCAGTGAATACATAAACAAACCTACCAGATGTCAGAAAATGTTTTTACATGGAAGAGGACATAAATAGCAAGAATACAGTCGTTAGTAAGAGACGTCAGAAATGAGTCATAATGAAATGTCTCATGGAATTCAAAAGTGAAGAGTAAACACACAAAGGGAATTTTTCTTATTCAAATGTATCTCGCATGGATACAAAGATTTAACAGGGAATTCAAAATTTAATATTTACCGCGTTGAAAATTCCCAATGGCAGAAGGAGGTGTGTTTCCCCAAATGAGGAAATAGTAGTCATCAAAATCACGATTTCTAAGTTATGTCACACAGGTTATCTAATCTTACTCTATATTACGGAAACAGAAGCATATATAAGTTTACTGAAAAGGAGAAATGCTTATAAAAATCGTTGAACAAATGAAAAGTAAAGACAATTGGAATCAAGTAATTCTTATCAGTTCGCAACCATTAGGGCACATACTGCACTCCTTAAGTATTAAGGTTTAATTTAATGCACTACTTGCAAATATCTGCGATTACGTATAAATAATAATAATGTAGGAATATTCGAAATTAGGCAAGCTATGCTTGGCAGGAAGTCTGAGGTTGGTACTTTTAAGAGTAAAGCTGGTTTCGAAACTTGATAGGTGCTAGCAAGTGCACAGCACCTTACAGCATTCCAATGATTCGATTAAATCTTCTTTGTAAACCTTAAAAGGATATATTCATATTAATTGAGATAAGTTGCTTCTGGATGAAGGTATATTTCTCTGCGAGAACGTGCCTTGTGTATATTAAATGAACAGGACTAAGCAACTGGCCTCATTTTATATCTTACGGAACAAAAGTAAAGTAAATAAAATATTATTTAGGCCAAGATGGCCCATTGAAAATGATATACTTGATCAAATTATTCTCCTGCGAGTCTTTCGAATATTCATGGATGCCAATTTACCAGATAATTTACAACAATATGTGAAGGAAAAGTAGAGGATTGCAAAAATTACTTCTTAATTAATTGTTGATTTAAAGTGTCCTTGTATACCTGTTGGACGAGTGAGCCAATTCGTTGAGTGAGTCTCGCGACTTTTTCGTCAGATCTGTAAGTAAATAATGGAATAACAAAATATAAAATAATATTTGGCCAAGAAATTGCGTTTTGTAGATATTAATGCGTAATGTTTCCCAATAACCTGATAAAGTAAACCAAACGGCTGATGGTCAATGGCTTGATTCTCCAAAAGGTTCTAAGTACGACAAAAGTGGAATTAACTCGTGTTAAGTTTTTATTCGAAGATTGTACTGTCCTTTAGCTAACTAAATACATATAATGATATAAAAGAGCTAAATAAAGACTAACTAGTTCTACTCTGAGCAATATCCATGATGATAAAAATGAGCATGATCGAAAGCGGAGAAGATAAAATACTTCTTTTGTTAATTAATTTTTAGCAAATCTAATCATTGTTTTTACCAACATACTTAAATGGAGCTGTATGTTCAGAACTACGAGCATTTGCCCTATCCTCTAGGTCTCTTCCAGAAGGGCCGTTCTGCGTATGGCATTGCGGATCATCATATTCCAGCTGATGTTTATGGGACTGTGCAGGCTGAGCTGGAGAGCTATATGCAACCCGCCTGTACGCTTCTTCATCAGAGAAGAAGACCCACTCATCTCCGTCAGCCTCCACCTTCTTCTTCCGCTTTTCTTCTTGACATTGGCATCCATCTTGTCCAGCGTCATTCTGTTCAAGTATTCCTGATGCTGCCGTACTCGCTTGATCCACTCGATCATCTTGATCCGCTACTATCGACATTCCATTCCTCAAAGTGGCATTCCAGCCTTGCGCAGCTGAACCAGCCTGACAGTGAGCATAATGCTTCTGCTTCTCACCGATAGCCTTATCCGGAGCATAAGAATTCACCTGGTTAGAATATCCATAAAGGTTAGTGCAAGAATTCATTTTGGCAGCAGAGGAGTGCAACAAGCGTCGACAACGCTGATTATTAAAACGGCGCCGAAAAGTGGGAGTACGTGAAGGGGATACTGTGTTGCGAAAAGGTGCCGGAGCAGAAGAAGTTCGAGTATGAGGATGCAAACCTGGATTTCTATGGGAAGAGACTGAACGACTGGTGGGCCTTCTAAGGAAAAGAAAGGGAATAGAGAAAGTATACACAGTATAATCTCATTTTTGACGTTCTATTTTTTTTAAGAATTACAAGACAGAAAGAATCACTATGAGCTAGCAATTAGAATAACCCCCTTGGCCTAAACAAGTTGTAGGCAGAATACTTAAATTAATTGCTCCGTATAATCATATTATTCGCAATAAATACAAATATTGCCTACAAGTAATAGAGATAAGGAGAAATAAAAAGAGTTACAGCTAAGGGATATAAAGGAAAAGCAAGGATAAGAACTTGGGTCACCATAGCTTGATTACGCAAATACTGACGGTCGGATTAGCCACAATGAAATGAGTAGGCCTCACTTGGTCAATGAGGTTCACGAAACCTTGCGTCACAAGAAAAGCACAATCCAGCTAACTAAAGTGAACTGAGGAAAAGCAGTAGTTAAAACCAGAAATCATTTGTTGTAACAGGATAGATTGGGTTTTGGGTCATGCTTCAACTAGTAGAAACCAAAAGTTTCCTTATGCTATGCCGTGTAGGTCAGTTAGTCCATATAAATATATAATATAGCAATAGTAATCAAAGTAGGTCTCCTAAATGTGTTATCGATACAAACAAATAAGCAACTAGCTATAGTGGGTTAATCAATTATTTAGCTCCCGGTTATAGATCACGAAGCCCATTTATCTATTGGTGAAGCAGTATAGTCCGATTTTTTTTACAACTGTATAGGTAGGATTATTATAAATACGCTTAAGGCAGAATAAAGTAGATAACTATGGAAAATAGCCTAATGCTTTATGCAAAACGAGGACATGATTTGGAGATAAGGAGTTTAAATGCAAGTAAAAGTTGATTAACTGGCAGAGAACCTAAGCCTATATTCGGCGAAAGTAGAATTCGAGACCGTTAGTAGATCTTGGTATCGAAAGCTGCTTTATACGAGTAAGGGTAATGTATTCGATTGAAGCAACAAGACACATTTGGCCCATTGATAAGTCCACCACAAGCGATTATTGATGAGGCCTGGCCAGCCTTGGAAGAGAATACCCTTTGGAAACAAGGCAGAGTGTGATTCAATGGATCGTGAGGCCTACTCATTTAATTGTAAGAAAACGATAAGTCCTTCAGCAGATTAAGTTAAATCTTGAAATTGACATCTGTCCTGTGACCCAAGGGCACTCGTGGCAATGTGGCGTAACGTGTTGAGCTTACATGCTGCACTGTCATGGTCAGACCCCCGATTGGGGTTCGACCTTTGCGAGGTCGAAACTGAAGTCCACTAAAGCTTTGATGAGAGCAACTTTTGTAAAGGCAAGACTATGTAAAAATCAGTTGAAACGTCAGCTCTACTCATATCATTGTGGGAAAAATCAACTGCCAGTCCTACATCACCTTAAACAAAATAGGGTGAAAACAACTCATCTATCTTATTTGCTGGTAGTCTCGAAAACCTATTTACTAACAAAATATGTTAAATCTATTTGTCTGAGCAGTAATCACACTTGTGAGAACTCAAAGTGGCTAGATC